AGTTTCTATGATAAAGTTCTGTATTTATTACATTTCTGAAATTATATCTTATTGACAGAAGTATTTAGTGTTTAAAGACTAGTTAGAAACAATAGTTCCCAATGAATTGGTATCTAACATATTTAACTGTTCTCCAAAATTTTACTTCACTGTGCAACTTTTTCTTTCACATGGTTATGATTTATGATAAATTTAGGTATCAAATATAAGAAACAAAATACCGTCTAGAAACTTTATAGTCAGAAAATAACAATTGGAGAATAAGTATGAAAATCAATTATGGAAATACCTTTGCTAGTGATTAAGCACTATAGTAATCTTTATTTATCGATGAAAGATTACATATGTTGAAATCAAATAGTGCAACATGGATTCCTTACTTCATATCAAATATCTTGAAATTTGGTAATTATTATTTCCAATTAACGACCATGTGATAAAAATAATAGAGGCCTGATATCGGCATACATGTGAATTATTAGTTTATCACAACTGCAGATATCAGTGAAACACACATAAATAAATGAACTATACAAATATTACATATTGAACAGATAACGCAAACTGACTTACCATATGATCAGGGATTGGTGACGATTCAAAACAGTTAGCAACAAAACTTCGAAGTTCTTGCAAGCTGCCCCACTGCTGACCTCTAACTGAAGTAAGACTTAAATTTATTTCTACTGCTTTGCCACATGGAACTTCTGGTGCTTTCAAATCCTCCAGACTATGGGTGACAGGGCGAGATAATCCAAAAACTTTTGGACTAAGTTTATAGGAGAGCAATGGATCTTGAGATTGTGCACTACCTACACTCATCGCATCTGTTGATCTAACAGTTTTGTTGAAACCCGAAAAACCACAACTACTGACATCAACAGTTTTTTCCTGAAAATGTGGTGGGAAACAGTGAAGAGTAATTTTGTCAATTGTGAAATCTTCATATGACTTGGGCTTGTAAGGAAGGTTCAACTGATCTTGACTTTTATTAGTTCCACTACTCACACTCATGTCATCATTTGATCGTGCAGTAATTCCTAGAGGGGCTGGTCGATATCCAGGAAAATCATAAACAGGCATATTGACTGTATGTTCAACATAGGAATGGGCAGCTGCATTGCACTGATGAGTTTCATCATCACTTGAACTACTACTTAATGGGGATCTACTACGACTGCTCACAGCTAATGTACTATTAACACTAATTACAGGATCTGGCATTGCACGAACTGTCAATCTTGCACTGCAGTCTTCATTTGCTAATCGATTCACTCTACTTCCACTAGCATGACTGAGGTCATAAACACACGACTTAGGTGAAGCTAGATTGTTCTGCATTAATTGCTCATCATGACCATTGTTCATGACTTGTTGAATATGAAGCCTCTGATTTTGAACATCAACCATTAGAATTCTATCTGAGTGATTACCACATTCATCTCTAAAGCCAATTCCAGAATCACTGTTACTTGAGGTAGTAGTTGTCGTACTGCTTGCATTACTTGGTTGAGGAGAATTTGCTACAAGAGGTTCTTCATTTTCTCCATTACCCCTTAGTTCTTTATTGCTATACAATACTCTGACAGCACTAATAATAGGATCAGATGTATCAGGAAATTCACGACAAAACCCTGTTTCAGCATCTACATTACACTGTAATTTAAAAGCTTCTGCTTTAGCTGCATGTTCACTATGACCTCCATGTAAACGCAACTCAACAGCAAATACATGGCAAGAACTTGATGATATAGTTTCCCCACTGTCATTTTCATCATCAACACATTGTACTGCAGCTGTAACAAGTCCAAAAAATCTACGCTCATCATCAGAACTTGACCCACAGAAAGTGACACGATCAGCAGGGTACTCTGCTAATACAACTTGGTGACAATTGGTTAGAGTTAAACTTCGAGTATGGACACTCATCAACACTAATGTATGAGCACGTTTCTCAGCACGAAGGCGTTTAATACATCCCCGAACTACCTGCAATCTCGAGCCAGGTTGCAATTCTTTAGGCATTTCAATAGTTCCTAAATATCCAACCAATGCACGATATTCAATTTTATCTTGTTCAGTCTCTTGTGGTTTCTCAATTTGAACTGGAGGATATAAACGGGGAGGTGGGAGAGGAACTGGTACAGGAGGCTCCCAGCGTTGCAAGAGAGGAAGAGCTGATTTGCTGACTGGCCTCATTACACCTGATGGCACAGACATAGTTTCAAGCTGCTGTTCTTCAAACATAGCACCAGTACGCAAGTCTCGAACGACTTTTGCCGCTCGACTTTGTTGGGGAACTATACCAGATCTATGATGCTGTCCCCCACTCCGAGGTTTATGTAGATATTTTGGTCTGGGGCGTGCTGGGGCAATAACATCTTCATCTGAACTATCTGAATAATAATTTTCTGCGATTTGTAGTTTCAGAATACCAGAGGAACAACCAATGAGTCGAACAACGTCATCGTGAGGAACTTTGCTCACACTTTGCCCATTAACAGCAACAAGATAATCACCTGGGTGTAGTCCTGCTTTCTCCGCAGGACTTCCAGCCACTATGCAACTGAGAATGCAAGGTTGCTGACCTGAGATAGTAAAACCAAAACCATTCTTCCCTCGGCATACTTCTACTGTTCGAACACCGTAGTTGGGTCGCTTTTTACGACGCCGTATGGGATGCATTTTGCTTCATTCGAGTCACATTCTAACTTCTAAAAAATAATCGTATCATTTCACTAAACTTGTATATTTCAAAATAATAAAGTGCAGTCCCAGGTCTACGAAATGACCTGACATTACAGTTAAAAGTTAGTTAACGTCACAAACATAGGTTGGATTACGTTCATACATAGACGTTCATTACATTTTATTTCGCAGACACTAGAACTGTTAAGTATTTTCACATCGTGAACATTCACTCTCTGGAAAGAATACGCTGAACTTCTCTTTCGAATCAATTACCATATGCACAAGTGTCACATACTTCTACTATTCGCCGTTCTCACAAACCGAAGCCATTTTGAACTTGAACTTTCAGACATGCCATCTGGGAAGGGTTGACCAAAGGGGTGACTCGTCTGCATTCCATACGAAACAGGAATTAAAGGACATAGAAAATTGTTTAATAAAGCAAATGAATAACACTAATTACTACTAATTCTTTTTCTAATATTACTTTCCAAATATCTTTGAGATAAGTGCTGGTTTTGATATTTGTACGTGGTTATTTTCTCGATGTGGTTCTAACCACTTCATGTATTTTTAGTTTATAAAGTAATTATTCACTTTATCAACTTATTAAAAATATATGTAAATATAGGTCTAAAGTTGCAGCTGCTTGTTGTCTTTAAGCAAATACTTTAGTGAAAGTAAGTACAGATCATGACTTCAACAAGCCAACCCATCATTGACAATTTAAAATGACATTCTCTCTTCTGACTTTTGGACAACACTGTTTTGCTGGCGGCCAAAAGTTTACCAACAGACCAAACGCCCTCTAAAGGAAAGAATTTAAACAAGAATGTCGCATTTCGATCGACTTTTGTTTTTAACCGTACAGAGGGATGTTCGAAATAGAATACATGTTTACGAGATAGCTAATCAGGGAATCTCCATTTATTTTCTCATCATAGTGAACCAATTTTTAATTTGACGTCTTGCACTTGTCTAATTACCACAGGTGACTACCAATAACATTCAGTGAATCACTGAACGTTGGCGACCGGTTGTAATATTTATGCTGGAGATTTCTCACCGTAATGAGAGGTTGTTTTGTATTGCAAAACTGCGCAAGGATTAGATATTTTCATCTTGTAATTGAAAGTGGAAATCAAGGGCTAACCACCGCTTATAATCTTTAACTAACTATAATACCAATGTTTATTATTATTATTATTATTATTATTATTATTATTATTATTATTATTATTATTATTATTATTTTGTCTAACAAGATCTTTCATATGAACGCAAATTTACTGAGCTGCTCATTCTTTCCATATTTCATTGGTTTAAGTCATTTATGGAATTTATGATTTTTCACGCTGACCGTTTAATAGAAATACAACAGTGCGGGGCGGAATTTAATGAAATGTCATATTTTTTCTTTTCACTTTAGAACAATGCTGTTTGGTATAGAAATTCATTTTATGTCATGACAAAATGAAACGACCCATTTTTGTGTGTCATTTCGTTAATGCGTCATTTTTAATTTGCTTTTCGCTTATTTAATCTATTTTAATATCATTTCAATGATACTTCAAGCAATACAACAAATGTTCACTTCAGAATTCCTGAGTACCCTATTCGATTTCTTCGCTCATATATTGTAATGTCAGCCGTTGTGAGTAGTATGTATTAATTACTTTGTACTACGTTTTAGTAATCCAACGTTCCTGTGACGCCTATCGGCGCCATTGTCAATTTGGCCGATTTCGCGATAAATAAAGGCAGAGATTTTCTTTTAAATAACAGTCCACCAAAAGTTTGCAGGCTGAGTTCATTTGAACAAAGAGAAGAAACCTCGATTACATCAATTACATACCTAACAGCTTGAGTTGTTTGAAGTGGTTTTGATCAAATTTTTTACGTCATTTTCTTTGTTTTTAGGGCATTTTGAGAGCATTTTTTAAAATTATTTTTGCCTAATGTTCTAGGTCATCAAAATCCGCCCCCTACTCATTAGCATAAAAGTGGCCATGTACTACTAGTATGTTACCATCCTTACACCATTTATCTCAACTATGAATTATGAACTCATTCTTAAGAATATTTTTGTCATTTTTATCGAATATTTGAATGAATGAAAAATTAATTTTGCGTAGCATTGATTACGTTTACCTAATAAATGAAAAAGTATGTACGCCTTTAGAATGTTTGTGTGTAATGGATGAATAATACATAAAAAATCGTCTTGATAAGAAACTTTTTTCTGGTAAGATAAAAAACTTGTTTCAAAATACAATAGAGACTTTTTGCTTAAAAACTGTGCAGAGGAAGAGGAGTGAATCGATTCATCCAATTCGATTCACGTTACCGATAAATCGACTGCTTCTCTTGCGGTTCATCTGTCTCCACATGAATTGTTGAAAACAATCGAAAACAAGTACTTCCTAAACATGGCATTTTCACGTGTGGGCGAGAAAATGTTCGTCAAGGTGTTGTGTCATCTTCCTACACGCCCAGTATTAAATTGTGGGACGAATGTCAGGATGTTTAGTAAGGGATTTACACCACTAAAAAGCAATGTATGGTTTCTTAGTTTGGTTGGGATAGGAACTGGGGCAGTGGTTGGTGCCGGCTACTCTTATCTGAAATCCAAAGAGCCGCAGACACCTGTATTAACTATTCAAAAGGATTTACCTACAATAAAAAGTATACCAAAAATGGAAGTGTCTCGCAAGGTATGAATATTTAGAAGAATATTTCAAGACGTGTTCCTGGAATGTCATTTGATATTTGTTTTGTTTATCATTATTCTAAGTAATAATATGTGTATTTGCCAGTTGCTTCTCTTTTTAGTTAAGTGTTAACATATATTAATTTTGCTCTTGACACATTGTTCTTGAAGTCATCTTGCCCAAAATGTTAACGGTAGTTTGTTTAGTTTATTAAGTGTTCAGTGATGTAAAAGTTATCCTGTCAATGGTAGTTCATGGTGGATGGTACTTGGTCAACAAACCAGATACCATCATTCTCATTTGTCTCATGGTTTACTCATGACCGCTGGCCTGTTATTTCAATCTTAATTTAATGCTGCAAAATTATTTGAATCTTCCTTTGTTTGTTTTTTTTTAATAAATTTTCCCCTGCAGCTCTGGCTGTTTTTGCCACACATAGATCTACTGTGACTATCTAATCAATTAAATTAGAAATAGATTCCTTGCTCCTTTTGAAAATCTTACTCCATGACTCCAGACTACTCTGCTTTGTTGCACTATACCTCTAAAAAATGTCATGTCTTGGCATTCAAAAAAGAAAAATTCTCTTTTAGGAAGAATTTTACCACTTATTTAAGCCAATTAGAATGTCATGTTGCTTTCATTTATATTCATTGCATTTAAGTTATTTATAACTTATAATAAAGGAAATGAAAAATAAGTATTTATTATTGTACACTAAATAAATATTTTTGCTGTGTCCGAGTGAATAGGTGTAGGATACAAAATCTTAGATTTGGGGGTGAACAATGATAAACAGTGAAATGTCTGAAAATTACTGGAACTGTTACATTCTGAAAGGAAGTAAATAAATACAAGGGAAAAGCTCATAATATTACAAGCTCAACGTTTTTTTGGAGAATAGGTTTTGTAAAACTCGTGATCTTTTAAAGCATAACAAAAATAATCAATCTTTTATTTAAATTAGTTTTCTTAATTACTAATATGGGAGAGCGCACAATGTGCATAGCTCTATTGTTTTTTTAGGGAGAGAGAGAATGTGGAGGAAGTCAATGTGTTACACTTTCACTTTTCTGTCTGTCTCTTTATTGCGTTACACCACGAGTTTCATATGTTCCATTAGTTCTTTTTATTCCTTGCTGAGGTTGGAGATGGATACGTTCCTTTTTCCGCATTGTAAGGCATGATACCTATCACATTATTCCTCGCACCATTCATGAACACACTGGTTCATGGAAACTTTTTGTTTTGCGTACTTTATGGTGAAATTCATGTACCGCAATCCTTGCTATCAAATGTCTTATGTTATATCCTCTTCCCATTCATTCTCTTGTGGTCATTGCAACCATTGTATAAAATTCTTCTTGTATTTCTTTCTTTTTCTTTCTTTCTTAGATCCTTCATTAATTCTTTGAGGTGTGTTGTGTTTGGTAGTAGTATTAGTTTTCTATCAGATATACCTATAGTTTTCTTCAGATAGATTTCACTTTCTCTATTTCTTGCAAGTCTCTTTTGCTCTGGTGCTACCACATGACCTCAAGTCTTTGTGTAATCACCAGAGTTATGTTCAATCTGAATAATTTTATTGCAGTATCGAGTGAAATTTGTTGTAAGTTGAGATTTCATTCTTCGCAATTATTGCTGTGGAGGTTCTCTCTTTGATATGTTCTTTGAAATTGGTTCTGCATGTTTGTAGAGTTACACTTAAAGTTTCTTCTTAATTGAAATAGGATTTTTTTAAATTACATATTTATGATAATAAAGTACTTTTTGTGGTGACCAAGAACTTGAAAAGTGACATAAAATAAACTTTATAAAAATAGTACTTTTTGGATGTACAATCAATTAAATTGTTCAAGAAAGGTTTGTAGTATTACTGAAACATTTTTAGCACATACGTATTTTTAAAAATTATTTACTAAAATAAATTCAAGATAGTTTTTAATTTTCATTTATGGTCACTAATGCAGATTTATGTGAAATGTTTGTGATATACTGAATGTTCAAATTCCTCAGCTTGTTTAAAAAATGTTTACAACAAGATGTAATATTTAGTTTATAATTAAAAACAAAGAACGTAACTGAAATAATATGGAATATTTTTTATTTATGTTAAAGTTACAGAAAACTTCAATTTTATTCATGTATATTTGTGAGAACATTTAAATTGTTATACATTAATGAATATTACCTGTTTGTAGCTAAAATATTGCACAGTGTCAATCTCTGTCATGGACAGAGGTCTTTTATGAACACATGTTCCTAAGATATGGATAGCTTTGCCTTGTCGTTTTTTTCTGATTGTAATTTCCAATGGACATTGCATTGAATTTCTTCCTTACTTGTGCAGTCAATGTCATGTAACCTATTGGCGTGAAAAATTGAAAGACCTTTTTCATGCTCTTTACTTAACCAGATTTTGAGTTGAATTTGATATGAAAATTATGAACAGAAAACACTTTTTGAGAATGATTACAAAAATAATAGTTATATATAAATTATTTATCTTGGATTACTGCAGGTGTTTTAAGTGCATTCAAATATATTTCTTTTTTCACATTTGCCTTTTTTATAAAGTATTTTAATACAGTGAAACACTCTTGTAAGTGACTACTTCTTTTAAAGATGATTCCACTGTACTAATAAATAATTTCAAGTACAGCAATACACTATCATGAATTGTGTAACCTTAAAGTTCATATTGTTGATTATGTAAAGTAAAAAATGTTAAACTAACTTAAAAGTTACTATTCTGATTCTATGTGTAAAGTAAACAAGGAAAATACTATCTTCACTTTAATTTTTTTTATTAGATTTAATAACAAATAAGTATAGTATTTCCAGTCAAAGCAAATTTCTATGTGAATTTATTCACTGTTTGTTGTAAGGTTGAGATTCACATGATTTGTTATTGGTGTGGCAGAACAACTAGAAATTGCTGTACCTTTGTAGTATTTCTTGTTGCTATACTTTTTTATTCAGATGAACATAATCTAAAAGTATAATATTTTTTGTTGCATAAGTATGGAAAATAACACACATTATTGCTTTATTCTAGGTAGTATTTGAAAATGATTCTACAGGTTTACGTTTAAAGCTCTTTCAGTATGCAACATGTCCATTTTGTTGCAAAGTTCGTGCATTTCTGGATTACTATGGAATATCATATGATGTGATAGAGGTAAATCCTGTGATGAGACAGCAAATAAGATGGTCCCATTACAAGAAAGTGCCTATATTAGTAGCTGAGAATCAAGATGGATGTCAGGTAACCTAGTAAATGTATGATATAATGTGTGAAAACTTTCTTAAGAAATAGTTTTGTAAAGCTAAATAGTTGAGGATTATTGATGAATCTCAGAAGGGAGTAGTTGAAGTTTTGGAAATCTAGTACTTTACTTAATTAGTTCATTTAGCTCATTAAGCAGAACAAAATCATATAATCAGTTACCATTTCACATACTCATTGTAGATTACAAAATGCTAATATATTCAAACAATAATAATAATAATAATAATAATAATAATAATAATAATAATAATAATAATAATAATGATAATAATAATGATAATAATAATAACAATAATAATAAAAATAACAATAATGATGATAGATGATAATAATCTCTTGTGATAGTGATCTCTGGATAACATTATTGTTTTCAGTGTGAAGAGATCATCACTACTTAACTATAACTTAATACTATACCGTCATATACTAATTGTTACTGAATCTTGGTGACAAAATATATCATATATGAAATGTTTTGTTTGAAAAACTTATGAAGGCGAGATTCATATTCTGACTCGCATTCATTAAAAGAAAAAATATATATGTAATCATACCAGGGCGGATATTAATGATATGTTGTTTTTTTTCTTCACTTTAGAACAGTGCCATTTAGTGTAGAAATTAATTTTGTGTTACAAGAAAAAGAAACAATCCATTTTTCCCATTTTTTGTCGATTTTGACTAATAAGTAATTTTTCACCTTTTTCCGGCATTTTTAAAGCAAATTTTGCTGATTTCATTGATTTTAATATCCTTTAAATGGTATATGCTTCAAATAATATGTACGAGATGCAACAAATGTTCTCTGCAGAATTCCTGAGTAGCCTATTCAATTTCTTTGCTCAGATATTGTATTGTCAGCCGTTTTATGTAATCTAATGTTCCTGTCATGCCTATCGGCGTTGTTGATTTGGCCAATTTTGGGATAAATAAAGTCAGAGATTTCCAGGAAGAGAATAGTCCATATCAAAACTCTGTAAGCTGAGTGCACTTGGATGAATAGAAGAAGTCGAGATTACATCAGTAACATGTCCAGCTTTAGTTGTTCATACAAACTGGTGTTAATTACATTTTTTACATAATTTTTCTTTGCTTTGAGAACATTTTTGAAACATTTTAAGAGAATTTTATTGATCTTTTGTGGCAATGTTTCAAGTCCTCAAAATCCACCCCCTAGCTATCATCTAATATAAAGTAGACAAGGAAAGAGATGAATGAATGTTCTCAAAAATAATTTGAACATTACGTTCTCAATCCAGTTTTCCATTACCTATAAACTTCGTTCAGTTGGTTTTAACATTTGAAAATTAGTTCTACTTACCTGATAAATATAGATATTTTTACAATCAGTTTATTGAATCACACACCTTAGTAAATATCTGTAATTATTAATTGCTACATTTAAGAATGTGAAATGTTACTTTAATCACTAAAAATAATTAGTTATTTGTTTGTATAAAACTTTGAAAGTAATTTCAAAATAAGCTGTGAACTATATAATTCAAGATAATAGATTCAAGTTGTATAAATACACCTTTTTATTTTTTAGCAATTGAATGACAGTAGTATGATAATTTCTGCATTGATGTCTTATATAATTGACAAAAGCGAAAGTTTGACAAATATAGTTAATTTTTATCCAACTATGCTCTACAAGCAAGATGGTTATGAGAAGACTGAAATTTTAAATCGTTACTTTTTAATGTGCCAAGAGAAAAATCAGGATGAAAAGACAAAGGAAGCTATGACGTGAGTTTCTGTTTACTTTTTAAAAATACTAATTAATGGTTGTTTTATAGATCAAACTAATGCCTGACAACAGTGACATTTGTTGTTATGACTGTTGTGACTAATCAGGTAATCTTTAATCACTGTAGTTTTAGATTGAACTAGTGAATTATAATAGGTATGATGAGTGTATTAGAATTTATCTTGAATTTTTCAGTGCATGAGTGGTATTTAGTAAGACTATTCCACAAATGATATTATGTCCAACAGTGTTTCAGAATGTAATTACCAATTATGGATTATATTTCTGAAACACACACTTTCAGTGCATGTCATTTCCTAAGACTTATGTACCATAGCTTTTAATTGGCCAGAAGTGAAAAGTGGTAAGAAAAATCACATAGAAAAAATAACGATCTTTTTAGATACACTGCCCTGATTGGGGCATATCAGACTGAGGCATATTTTAAAGAATTGTTGGTGTTAATTTCACGAGTGAAATTATTACCAAAATTTTTGTTGTTGTTGAGAGAAACTGATTATCCTCGAGTTTAAAACAATTCATATTTAGATTACTCCAACTTACATATTTTTGTTGCATTTTCCAGGTTAGAGAGGAAATGGAGACAATGGGTTGATGATACTTTTGTACATGTTTTGTCACCCAATGTTTATCGCACTCGGTCAGAGGCTTTAGAGACATTTAATTGGTTCTCTGAGGTATATTTCGTTAAATATAATATATCCATTCAGTAAGCTTTTTTTAAAGGATTTATTCAATTCTTGGATATAAGAAATTATGTCTTTTTATAGGCTGGTGAATGGGAAACTCATTTCCCTGCATGGGAAAGAAAAATAGTTATATATGTTGGTGCATACGCAATGTGGCTCATTAGTAAGCGGTTAAAGAAAAGGTCAGTATAATCACATTGCAAAAATGTACTAATCATGCTTGTGTATAAGATTCTAATATTTCTAAATTTTTCTAAATACAGGCATAATTTAAAAGACGATGTTCGCCAATCTTTTTATGATGAATGTAATGAATGGATGAAAGCTGTCCATAAGCAAGGAACACCATTTTTGGGAGGAGAGCAGCCCAATTTAGCTGACTTAGCAGTGTACGGAGTGCTGAATAGCATTGAGGGTAGTCGAGCATTTAAAGATGTTCTATCTCATACAAAATTAGGTGTATGGTATTGGTCTGTAAAGGCACAAGTTAATAAGCATAAAGGAAATGATACTTTAAAGCATTAATTTTTATGTAATAAAATTCCTAGTCACATCAATTTTATAACTTCACTTTTGAAGATCAACAGTTGTGATGTTAAAAATGACATTATTGTCTTCATTTGGAAGATTTGCATAGTGTTTGTCATTTCTTGTTTAGTCATATGAATGTGCTTAGAGAAATGCAAGTGGCATATTTCCATTGTATGATCAGTATCAGTGGTGTAAGTTAACAATTGTTTCAAAACTGATTGATTTTGATTTTAATTTCAGGATACATTATTGTTGATCACCTTCTTTATTCATCATCTTCTTTATTGCTTTAATTCATTACAATTGTTATAAAAAATTAAACTTATTGAAATAAATATTTTGAAAGCATCTTTTGATCATTTTAATGGTATTTCCCAAATCCCCAAAAAATGTTATTTTGTTACAATATTTGTGTTAGTTTATGTGAATGCTGCTTGTGCAATTCCTTTCAGGTGATAATCTTAGGTTGACAGTTGCCATTATGTTTGCTGAGTGAACTTTGCTCCAAACGATATTATGGAAAATTTAACCCACCTTTTACAGTATTGTTCATTATTATTCATAAATATTTGAAGAAATGTTTAGTTTATGTTGCAGTAAAACTGAGAATAAGACTAGCTTTCTCTTCTGAGTGTATAAAATATTGTGCCTCTACTTTGTCTGAGGAGGGTATTTAAAACAAATTATGCAACCTAGATTCAGTTGTCAGCTGGCATAGTGCCCTATGCTTCATTTATTGTACAGAACAAAAGAAAATGGGCCACCTAATAGTTTTAGGAGAAAAAATACTCATCCTCTATCCTTTATGACAGTTTGTTGCTCCACAGTATTATGCCTTTGACCACCCCATACAATTTTGAAATGGAAAAGAATTGGAATTGTATAAAAATTACATGTCCAATTCGTAACACATAAACCCAAGTAACACTTTACTTTCTTATTTACTAGTGTATGCACAGTATGGATGTAGAATAGATCATGTGATGTTGCGAAAAAAATAGACATCTAGATTTTGGTGGAAATAACCAATTTAGGAGTTTCTGTAATTGAAAAGAGTACTTTCCCTGATATAATCTCTCCACCTGTGGGGATCTCTAGTGCCACTGTCTTTTACAGGGTTTACTCCATAATGGATGTTCCCCAATTGTTCTCACTGTGTCCAAGTCCGTGTGAATTTGAAATGGATCTGTAATTTAGGAGGAACTTTATATGAAGCCCAATTTTCTCAAAAATGGCTCCACAATTTTTTCTCAAATTGAAAATTCATTCATAAAAATGGTTGTTAAACCCACCGAATTTTTGAAAAATGTAAAAGTAAAGCATTCTCCCCAATATGAACCCTTATTATTATGTTGTTGAATAAAGTTGTTTTTATTAATGAAATCTATTCTCCAGAACTTAATCATTAGATAGTGTCATGTTCTGTAAAACTAAATTGTCATGAATTTCAAAAATTTTTTTGTCAATGGGATCTGAGCTTTGGAACCTGCTGGTCCAGACAAATGCTCTGCTGATTGAGCCACAATCAAATATTGCATGTGTTGCAATTTAATGATCGTATACTGATCAGCAGTCTTATGTTGACAATTGGCATGAAGAGTGAGGATGAAGGGATGAAATGTTTGTACTTCATGACAATTAATTTTTAGTATGAATTATGGTACATTGACACTGTTTCACTATCTTGGCAACAGTGTCTAAGGTCAAACCACCTCTAATGCACCATTCTCTTAAACGCCCTTCTCACTATTCAACAACAAAATTTAATCAAAACTGGTGACATTTTTTTGAAAATGTCCCAGGGGCTACATTTAAAGTACTGCTTAATATTAATATATCGGTTTTGAATTGAATGGGCCGCGACATCAAACCAGATTGAGTGGGGAAACCCAATTCTGGAGATAATCTGCAGAACGGTTTAGCCGCTAGCGTTGTTCACAGATGCACAGGGACGTTTTGCCATCAATCGATTTTTTGGTATCGAGGCCCCACAAAGTATGGATTCTGGCTACACCACGTGAAAGAGGATTTTTTTCTTCTATAGTAACTGGATTTATCCACTTTTTCATTACCAGGGCCCTGTAATAAGTTTTTCTGCCGAAAATTCCCCGTTTTTCACGAAGCATTACATAACTTTCTCTGCACTGCGTAAACAGGAGCCAGGGCCGTGTTAATGTACAGGTCCAGGGCCCCCCGATAGTTATTAAAACATTTACTAATAATTGTTCCAAAAAAGTAACATACAATGTGATGTGTGATTAAACTATACGCAAAAAATGGCATAACGGAGTGATATGTCCTGCATCAATGGGTAATATTTATAATATGGAATGTTGCTGGTTGATGCGAGAATGGCACTCAGAGATGTGATGTTTAGTTTTTTAACAAATCTTGTCTTTATTTAATTTGTAGTCCTTTTCAGTGTAATTATAAAGGCATTACGCCCTGAGGAAGGTCGCAGAATGGCGACCGAAATGTCGGCACCTTTGCCATGGACGCGGTTTCACCCGGACAGCCAATTAAATACTGACTCCGGCCGCGGAAGCCTACGCTCTCTTATAAATATGTTATTCTTAGACGTACATGCTTAATTTTTTATTTGAATAATATTAAATTGAACATTAAGATATACTTCCAAAAATTAAACAAATTACATACTACAGTGTATATTGATAGGATTTTATTTATATTTCAGCTTCGGAATTGGATGGGGATACGTGAAAGAAAGAATACGGGGCACCCGAAGGTCCAAGAGGCCAACCTAGGCCCAAGGGGCTTCAATGTTGTTAAACCTCCCAACCTAGGTCCAAGGGGCCTCAATATTGTTAAAACGGTCCTGGCGGCAGCGAGAAAGTAAAAATCGAATGATTGCAAAAAGTTAGTCGATCTGTGAACAACGCTAGCTGCTAAACCGTTCAGCCGATTTTCTTCAGTGTTGGGGAGCATTTCAGTATAAGTAATTCAATTACTTGTAACGATTTCTTTGATAGTAATTATTACGTATTAGCACGTAATTGTTACTTAAAAGAATGAACTTTTTACTCTTAACTAGCGGAACCCGAAAGACGTTGTCCTGTCCTCCATCTCTATTACTGTTTCCCTTCCTTTCTGTCTCTGTCTCTCTCACCGTCCCTGTCCTTCTCTGTCTTAGTCTCTCTCCTCGTTTTTCTCCTCTCTTGTCTTTCTCCGTCTCTCTATCCCTCCCCTGGCATGGACTATCCTTTTTTACGTACTTTTCCCATCACTGATTTTCTCCTAAATTGATATTTCCCAATCGATCTGGCTGATGTCACGGCCCCTAGCATTTGAAACCGATATTTTAATTTTGGGGAATACTTTACTTCAAACCTCTGGGGTATTTTCAAAAAATTGCTCCGTTTTGATTAAATGTTGTTGGGTAGTGTGAAGGACGTTTAAGATAATAGTGTTGGTCTCATTTTCGTTAAAAAAATTTTTTTTAAGAAAACTGCAAAAATTCAATTTTTTCGGCGTCTTCCTACAACTTCTTTTGTGAAGATAAGTGTGATACAAAGTAGCGTTTTCATTATGGTATCCGTCACAATAGCGTAACATTAATCATTGGCAAGGTCCCCTGCGAGTTTTGACCGACCCGTGGCGGGAGGTTAGACGTTTACACAAAAAAATCTCTCTCTAAATGTGGCACAGTCATCATCGGAGACATCAATGTGGGTGGCCATTTTCTACCTGTCCAATATTTAAACAAACTTCGAAATTTTCCCCCAAAACACAAACGTCGTACTATAAAGTCAGCCCCATGATACTACAGATAATCTCTGCAAAATAAAAAAAAATAAAGCCGCTGAAGTAATGACTTCCATATGAGAGACTAATTGTACATTTTAAGCTTAATTTTATCTCATTTAAACATTTCCTTCGTCCTGGTCATCACCTCAAACTCACCGGAAAACATGCACTCGGAAGTAAATTTTGAAAAACACATTTTACAGTTTTGCCCACGACCGGTCCCCTCCCACTCCTAATTGTCTTCCATCCTCGAGGTCTCGTCCGCTTACTTTCATTTTCCCTTGAACTTATTCTTAGTGCTGCCCCTCCCATATGTTTACGAAAACATGCATCTCTTCCTGAGACAACTTTCTGCGCCTTCCAATTGTTAGATTATTTCAAACTCATCTGTAAATCAACTTAATATACGATAACATGTTTTTTTTTGGATGTGGAATTATTATTTTTAGACATATAAGTGTATTTCAACAATACTGTTTCAAAACTATATTTTATTATTGACTTGTGTTCACTTCGCACTATATCCAGAAATAATTTAACATTGTAGAATCCTACGGCGGGCATGGTATTTGTCGATATAATAAGCAGAAACCTCTATTTCCAAGATCAGGTGATGTTCCATTGCCTAGTTCTCCTCCATCTGTTACTACAGTCAGCACAAAGGGTTTTGAAAACGCTGAAAAAATGTTCGTATCAAATTAGTTGGTAAGTAGAAATAAGTATTACCTTTATAAAGACATCAGGGTAGTACTTACTGGTAGTAGTTATAAATCCACTTCCGCAAAAACGATCATATGGTACAGAAACCCCATTCTGTTGAGGATTTGGAATTACAACAAAGTCTGTAGTGCAAGATTGTCCAAAGTCTGGTTGAGCTGAAATAATAATAATACGAGTAAGATACGATTTTGTGATTACCAGTGACGTTCTAAGAGATCAATAGGGCCGGCGAAACGTATAAATTTCAGATGGGTAGTACCGTGGGTAGAGGTATTGTAATTTTGTATTGTATTTAAGTTTTCTTAAAGAGAAACTTGATAACGGCATAAAATATGTAGTTAATACATTTTGATTAATAATTTGTGTAAACACAATAATGAATTTTTATATATTTTTTACTTGCCAATAACAAAAGGGATCATTTCTACATCCGTTTTTAAACTTTTCGGGTTTTCATCAGCATTTTTAGAGGTAAAGTCCGATGCATTGGCAGGCTGCAGCGTGCCTCTCTTTTGCGCTTGATTGAAAGATTTATCAGTTTTGTCATTCTCTCATTTACCCCGGAAACCTTGAACAATAAACCGATCCATTATCGGTTCTTTTGGATACAGCCATAAACATATTGCGTGATGTCACAACTGCGCATCGCACGTCATGTTTGAATATTGAATAACGTTTTTGGTCGATTTCGAAAATATTTTTTCCCCCACCAGTTTGATGGGTATAACAAATGTGTTAAATCGGAAGCTTCGATACCAACAATTGATGTCGTAACGAAGCTCGCAATTCGATGACAGAGCCTCCCCCCATCCTTGCCAGCTCGTGACCTTAAAAGGACTTCCTATTTTAATCGGGGTATAGACGCATAGGGTCAGAGAAATTATATTGTCGTAGAGTAGGACCCAAATTGTTTGAATGATAGAACTAAAATAATAAGCGAGGAAATCATATTACATACCAATTCAATACAACAATCTTAGAGAAGCTCATCCCGGGGAGGGAATGAAGAATAACTGAAGAGTTTGACGTGGGGAAAGGCAATACTTGGTATATTTTGTAAATTTTTCGGAAAATGTACGTTATCAGTATGTTTTATTTAACAAATACCAAGAGGCGTCATTATTGGCAGAATTTATAATAGAGTTTGCAGACTCATTCCTTCAAAGAAGGGAAAGTTTCGAGACATGGATTTCGGAGACGGCAGTGCGCGCAAGGAAGGAACGAGCCTGAACGGTCGCCGCGCCCGAACGGTTGTCAGCGCTCGTGCGTCCACTGCTTCTTTTCTTTTTTAAATTATTGATTCCGGGTGCGTCAACAGCTAAGGTCAATAGTCCCGTAATGGTAGTACATGTTTTCCCGCGGAAGGTGGCGGAGATCTTACCTCGTTCGATGGTGAGCTCCGCCGCCGCCCTACCGTCGGTTATCGGGGTTTTGCCCAATCAGGGATCTCGCACCAGCGGGGCACCGCTCCCGACTGGTCTCTCAGCACATGTGGTAGTGTAGTGCATGTAAGTGTAAGAGTTGCGGATAGGTCACGGAGGAGGAAGGAAAGATCGCGCGCGGTCCGTGGCCTGCTTGGGCATTAACCTGGTATTGCTCTGAGAAACCACGGAAAACTATCGATCAGAGCAGCCGGCCGCTAGAATTATCCTCCAGACTACGACTGATCGAGCTAGTGTCGAAAATTCTGCCACCGTCGGGACCCGAACCTAGGACCTCCCGATCAGGGGCACTAGAGTGACATCAGACCCTGAGTCTCCGCTCCCGGTGCTTCCACTGCTACGCGGCAGATGGCCGGTCGCCCCATGCGGTTGTTTTTCCACAGAATGCAGGGCTCTAGTTTGGTTTGGGAAACATGTTCATTCTATCGTAAATTAGGGCGCAGACGGTGTAGCGGTAAATTTTCATCTAAATTCGTTCTTTGGTCGGTGTGACCTGCCTGTGTATTTTCTGTGTACGCGGGTGCCACGGAATATATTTAATTAAAATTCTCATTACAAACCATACCAACACGCTTTTGTGTAGGCACAATGTTAAATGGCGTATACTTTAACACACAATCACGATTTTCCGACACCAAAAATATATACATTTAACAAGTTTCTATCAAATACTAAGCAATGCAGTCTCTGCAATACTCTATTGAACCACGGATTTCTTGAACGTTTCTTTCATACTTACAATTTGCGGGAATAGTGTTATCGGTTACTGTGAATGAAAAATTGTTATTCGGATCAGCAGACCACTCAATTGCACAGTAACCAGGATTCATGCGAACACACACTCCATAATTCAAGTTGGCCAATTCTCTGGTTCCAGCCACACCAACAACTGAAAAAGAAGGTTTGAGATTAATGGGCCTGTCACAATGGAAATCGTTAACCTGATAGGAAGCAGAACTATTGTAGTAGATTATTATATTCATAAGGTAATATAACATATTCACATTCACGAATGAAAATAATCTTCTCTTATTCTTCCATTTCTTCTATGTAGGTGTAACCTCTTATTCTTCACACATCACCTTCATGCTGAGTCGGGAGATGCCCAGCTTTCGATCCATCTTTTCTTTGGTCTTCCTGGATCCCGCTTACCTAAGGGTCTTAAATCTCTTGGTATTCTAATCAGCCAACTATTGTCTGCCCTGGAAACGTGTTCATCCCAGCCTTTTATTCTTGTTCGTATGAATTTAACTATGTGCCCATCACTTCATTCCTTTTATCTTCATTATTTATTCCATCCCATCTTGCCTTCCCTGTTATTGCTCTTAAAGTAGTCATCTCTGAAGTTCTTAGTAGAGTTTCAGTTCTTCTAGTATCAGCTCGCGTCTCTGCTCCATTAGTCAAAAAATAATCTGTTCGTGTTATTTTTAAGGAGTACTAGTAATGCCAGCACACCTCACGCCAGCGCCTTACTTGTTACACTAGCTGTGCATAACTCGCGGTTCGCTGACCACATGCCATTTTATCTTCTATACTAAGCGGGTGTGAAACACAGAATATATTTTGATTCGGAAATTAACGTTGTTCTTTAGACTTCGACATTCTTTCAGAGAAAAATTGAGAACTTCTGAAATATTTTACACTTTTGCTGAAAAGAGGGCTTTCGCGGCTCATTGTATTGTTGCAACGTTATATCGTGCATATTTTTTTAAAATTTGACGTTGCATAATTTTTCCGTTGTTTATTTTCCTTATATATCATTTTAAGTCTTATTTTGACTATTCCACTCGTGAAATTAAAACTAATCGTTTATACTAAAGCTATAGCTCATTATAACTATAGGTGTTGTGGTAAGATATCTTTGGCATTTTTAAAATAATTAAAGATGTTGTCATTGCCAACAATATTTTAATTCAATAGCAGCTTTCGATGGCTTAGCCATCATCATCAGTTGTCTGCTAGATGGAAGCCAACAAAACGACTACGTTAACGACTGACTGGTTTGTGGCTTCCATCTCAGCAGACAACTGATGATGATGGCTAAGCCATCGAAAGCTGCTATTGAATTTAAAACAATATTGTGGCAATGTAAATCATTCAATTATATATATATATATATATTATATATATAATATTATATATATATATTATATATATATATATATACCGCCTCAATCAGGGCGGTGTATCTCAAAATATTATCGTCTTTTTCTATCCGATTTTTCTTACCGCACCTCCATACAGGTCACTAATAAACTGCGACTCATTTGTGTCGATGTGCAATAATCGCGTATGTACTATAACATAACCTCTTTGAATTTTACACGATTTCAGTTATTTTCGATATTTTGCGCATTTATGAACTCTTTTGAACGTAATTTCATTCGTGGAATAATCCTATTAAATACCACTGATGGATTGGATCTCTGATAAATCCTTGCTTTGTGAATCGGGGATTTATTGACAATTTCCAAAGCATTTATATCGTAGTATTACCTATGATAAATCTATCCACGTAAATTAGAGAACACTTGTTCTTGAAAATGTGGTCACACGTAATCACGAAACGTTGAGAATAAAGAATTAAATGTCTCAAAATAAATTTAAAAAATAGTCAACTCATTGCCTATATATCTATCTGCAAACCCCATTCCAGCAATCAGCTATGTTTCAGTACAAAAATAAATTTTTCATGTCATGCTTCAACTGTAAAATAAGTCGAGATTTTTTTTCGGAAGAGAAAGTCCCAACCCACAACTCAGACCATCCACACAGATAAACATTTTTCTTATTATTATATTTAAAAAAAGTTGCGTGTATTTAATTCTGTCACAAATATTTAAGAAAACATTCCAGATAATTTCAGGCAAAATTTGCGGTATTCATTTGAAATATACAATTTTAGAAATTAACCAAAACTAGAAAGAACTCTCCTAAAAATTACCATATTGTGGCTAATGACTATCTCTAACGCAGCGCCACTATTAGGTGCGTAATTTCGTCTAATGAAAGTGATCTCCAATTCATTCAAAATTTTTACCATCTTTGTTTATAGTGCACGCGCAATTAAATTATGCAAGTCATGACACGTACCTCCTATTTACCACAAACAGCACAGCAATAATATTTACATTATTTCCTTTTCTTACTCAGATATTAAAGAACACTGATTATAAATGAAAGAGAGTGGAAGAAAAAACAACACTGGTTTGAAATGAGAAAAAAACTGGATGGGCAATTAAATGAAACACATATATTTGTATTTGATGTGCCCAAATGGAAGACAAACCACAAACAAGCAAATAGATCAAAAGATATTTGCCTTGTATTTAAGAAAATACTATTCTTGGTTGTTTAACAGAGAAATCTACTACTCACAAGGCCCTGGTGAAGGGTTTGCAGCTGTCCCAAAATTGAAACTTTTCACAGTTCCAGTTGTTTCAGTGTAGTACATGAGGCAACCAACAGGTGCTGGAACAATTGAAGTAGTGTGCTTTGTGACTCATTGTTTTAAAACGTGAAATCAAATACACTACAAATAAAATTGTTTTCGTTACAGCTAGATGTTCATTACGGCAGTACCTCGTGAAGGACTGTCGCATGGTATTTGCATGACTTTTATATTCCATCGACGTCCAAAGGCAACAGAGGCAGTTGTATCAACTGATAATTGGATGGGAACGGCTCCTTCATCAAAATCAACATATACTGAAATAAACACCAAAAATGATATTATAATATGTATATACACGGTATAAAGAACAATGATTGAAAAACAGTTCATGGTCACCCACTGTGTTGTCCAGTATTTTCTCCACAGATTCGAGGAACAATAGAAGAACCCCCTGTCACCGTAAAAAAGTCAGTGGCGCAAACTCCATTGAAGTCAGGTGAAGCGAGGGAAAACTCTAAAAAGTCCAGGCGTACCTGCAAAATTGATGGATTAGATTTTAGTTATTTAACCTATTTCTAACGCATTTAAAAAAAGTAAATGTGACATTTTTTAATTAGAATATAAAATTTATAATAAGTCTACCTTCAATTATCTATTCTGTAAGTTCAAAATATGCAGATGATTCCAAATGATTGAAACAAAAACTATATTACTTTGTTCACGACGGTTTCAAATTATTTGTTGTAAAACTTGTTGTTTTAGAGAAATTTTTCTTTTTATGTTACTTTCGGGCGCAAAATCCGAACTGGCCGCTAAACGACACACGGAAGAGCGCTCCGGGTCCCTGGCAATAGGCACACTATTTATTTAAATAATTGGAATAGTATTACTTTATTTAATTCATTTAAATCTATCCAATAATTACATCACGTTACACTTAAATGTTATAAGTTGAAGTGCCAATCCAGTAAGAAAATTTATTATGTAGTTTGTGTTCTTGTTTTTAGTTTATACTATCTGTCTACATTTAAATCGTATTCCAAATCAGTATTTACTCAGTCCCTACTTTAAGTTGTATTATAAGCAGATTGATCGCTTTAATTCACATCATAATTTGATAAATTACCCAATTTTCTTTTTACTTTTTTAAATCTGATTTTTTGCAAATTATTTTATTTATCTTCCAATAATACTCGTGGGTTTCTACCCTGAAGGGTTGTATCTTTTATGAAAGCTTTAGAAATCAATCAATTTTTTTCTTTGTTTTTTTTTTGATCTTGTAACGCTACGTAGGTCTTATAACGTTACCAATTTACCTGACAAATGTTGGTATTGCACTTGTTTATGGTCAGACTACAGCGAGTTCCTCCTGCGTAAGAGCTTGGATAGTTAGGGTTAATGAAATACGTGCAATTGAGATTTGAAGTGCCTCCGCATGTTCTCTGTACTGCAAAGGATATATCATTTTCAAATATAAGTGAAACAATTTATCTACGAATACAAAATATTGAATTTTTAATAAATATTAATTGTATTTTACACTTACTTATGCAACAGACACCAAGACCTCCACCACAAGATCCTGAAGCAATTCCATCATAACTTGCACAAACCCGTCGTGAGTAACATGTTCCATTCAAATTATTTTCCCCTACACATGGATTATTGGAAATCCGAACTACTGTGAAGAAAGGAAAAACTGCAAAAAACATGAAAAGTTAGATTTTGTGTACTTGAATCTATTAATTTTCTTACGCATTGTTTCAAAATACTATATTATTTATTTCAAGTTCAGTTTTCTCCGGTAACCATTCTTTTATATTTTGTTATAGATTTGTTATAGCCTGATGTAACGGATCTAAATAATACAAAAAAGTTGAAAATACATCCCAGTATGCTTTAAGGTGACTGTGTGTAACTAAATGTAACAAGTTCACCCAGCATTTTATTACAGTATTAAATACACAAAAAAATCAATCTATGCTTAGAATGTATAACGACTGGTACATGCGCTTTAAATAGTGTCATATAAAGTTTCTCGAAAATTCTACCGTTTCTGTGAAAACTGGCTCAAAACTCCGCATTTTCAGAAACGCTCAAACGTCATTTTCTCAAATACGGCTCCAAATTTGTTCTTCAAAGGCGAATTGCTAATTCCTCTTTTTAATATGACGTACAGTTCATTTTGGTGTATTGATTGCTTTTTCAAAAATTATACAAATGTAAATTTTTTGAAAGATCTCTCACGCCGTCGATATGCACATTGCCAGCAATTTTTAAACACTATTTAATTTGAGTTTAAGTACTTAATATGACTTTAAATTAAGTTTTTCGAAAACTCAAATATTTCCTGTGAAAAGAGCTTCACATTTCGAATTTACAGTAGCCCTTAAACGCCATTTTTTTTAACGGCTCCAGATATTTCAAAGAAAATTGCCACTTAGGACTAGGTTTTACTGTTCTTTAATAATCTTAAAATAATATTTCCGCTCTACAATTAAGAAACCGAAAAATTAAGAAAATGTCAAAAAATGTACTTTGGGCGGCGATAGATGGCAGGTGGCATGGATATGTGGCAAGTCCGAATAGCTTGCCGTGACCAAAGAAATAGAAATCTAATACGTGATAGCATGCGAGATTTGTAGCCACTAGTTTTAAATGAAATGTGTTCGTCAGAAACAGAACTTCAAGTAAGGTCGTGTTTAATTTTGCATGTGATTGAGTATTGTTTGTTTAATTCTGCCTCAAATGTGGGAAATTTTGAAATTTTAAACATTTTTTCTTTAAATTGTTTCCTCATAAGTAACTCGAGTCAAAGGCCCTCGGGCGTTTTGCCATCGCTCGATTAGCACCCTTATAAGGCCCTTGATGCATAATAATTATTTCCATCGCCCTTGCATGAGGTATGAAACGTCTCTCAAAGTCATTTTTCTGACACAAAATTACCTAAAAATGTGTAAAAAATGTAAGCTGTAAAAGTTCTTTATAGTGTTCGCTGGGATTATTTCGTGGTTGTCTGTAAAAAACTAGAAATGTCATTGCCATCATTTACATTTATTTTCAATTTAACCAGTTCATCAAAAACTCGTCAACTTTTGTCAATTTAAGGAGATTCTGTTTGTAATCTTTTGAAAATAACAAGATGAGGACCAGCAGTTACACCCACTTTTCATTGACCCATTCCTCTAAAAAGTGCTTTCAATATTGAGAGCGTAGGCTTCCGCGGCCGGAGTCAGTATTTACTAGGCTGTCCGGGTGACGCCGCGTCCATGGTGAAGGTGCCAACGTTTCGGTCGCCATTCTGCGACCTTCCTCAGGGCGTAAATTCATTTCTCAATTCCTCAGGGTGTTATTTACGCCCTGAGGAAGGTCGCAGAATGGCGACCGAAACGTCGGCACCTTCGCCATGGACGCGGCGTCCCCCCGTCAGCCTTGTAAATGCTTTCAATATTATTTCAGAAATCTGGAGATGACATGTCAACTATAAGAGATATTTTCATTTTTTTCTAAAGAAACGCAGTTCCCTCTCAAACGACCGGTATTGACAAAATTAGTATGGAAGTACATTGTTTATATTTTTTTTCTACTGACTCCCATTTTTTTTTACTTTAGAAGAAACAGCTTTGACTTGATTAAATACCGTCTTTACACACTGAAATGATCAACTGCTCTACATCACTGCAACCTCATATCATCTTCTCCATATTTTCTTTATTCAATACACGTGATGACAATTCCCCATCCCTACGTATGGCAGCACCATATAAATTTAAATGTTCAAATCTATTATTGATCTCTACTCTTTTCTTTTGAAATTTATCACTAACGACTCGAATACTAATAGACCCACTACCAGACCAACTTTTGTGGATCTTGACCTAAAGCAAAGGTCTGAGGTTTCGCTATTCCGACAGAAGTATTGCCCCTGACTCGCATTTCACTCGCCACACGGGGATCGATTTATCATGTTCATAAAAAACAAATCTTTCGATCAGCAAGTTGTCTGGAAGAACATTAATACTAGACCCATTCCCTACAGAACTAAACAAGGTTGGCGCTGGACATTCGAAAAATTTAATTTTTCGAAAATCTTGGAATTAGAAGTTATTTGAGTCACTTTTACTCACAAACACAATAGTGTTTGCAAATCGCTGGAAACGTGCACATTAACGCGGCGTGAAAAATATTAAAATAATACAGAAAACTTAAATTTGTGTCATTTTTAAAAGTAAAATTCGCAATACCCGCTCAAACAATTTTAACAAAAAACTTGGAGCCATTTTTGAGTATATCATCTTAATAAAAAAGTCCTTGATATGGTGTAACGGGTTGCTTGATTCAAGTTTTGGCGAGAGAGGCTGGGAAAGTTCCAAAAGAATGGATTTGAGAAATGTGAGTAAATTTAAGTTTGCCCTTAGTATAACATCTGGGACAGTGGAAAGATCCTTTTCAGCTTTTAAAACAATTTTAAATGAGAAGACACAGTCTTATTGTAGAAAATATGGAGAAAGTTTTTATCATTTAATGTGCTGCTAAATATGAAAGTGAATAAAATTATATGCCTGTGGTCACTATCATAAATGTACAAATTCTTGTCTTCTCTGAAGAATAAAAAGTGCCTAATTCAAGACTTTTAGGATCAGTTTGAGATGCCAAAGACATAACTTTTCATGTCTTAAGTTTTTAAACGCCTGCTTTCATAATTTCGTAGCAATTTTAAGTGCCTGAAAAGTTGCTTTTCGTAGAAAATAGTGCCTAATTTCATAATTTTGTTGCCTACTTTAGGTGCTTAAATCATCACTTGAAGTGCCTAAAATGCCGAGTTCTTTTTGCAAGCGCATAGACGAACAGACGTTTCTTAAAAAAAAAAAAAAACAACACTATTTTAGTGTCAGGGCCTCCAGAACGTGTCTCACCGTCAAAATCTCGACGTCCACTAATACTTTTAACAATTTGCATTTTTTACAGATTAATGTATATGTACTATAAGAAGAAAATACAAATACATTTTAAAAACAAATTACATTGTTACTACGTGTTCTTTCGTGTATTTCTTACATCCAGAAAACTACGTTGCATCTTTCAAAACTAATTAAAAGAACATTATTGTTTATATGCAACTGATTAATATAAAACAATATTTATACATGGAAAATAAAATCGATATGTGTATACATTTGTATACATTTTTACGTATACTCATTACCAGATTAGATTATCAATATGCTTGCAATATATATTTTTCTTGGAGTTATTTTGTTTTTTGATAGGCCCGTTCCTCTTTCAAACGTTCGCTTCTCACAAATCAATAAAGTAAAAAATATATTCCACAAAATGGAAGTCTATTTTTCAAAATCAATATCAGCACCTTCACATTTTGCTTTAAGAGTAGATGTCACTACGTCTTATAATTAGAGAGTATATTTAGGGTCCATATTTTTAAAACTTCCATTCGAAACTTTAAAAAATGTTTTAAAATGCGATTTAAAAAACAAACTAATTCGATCGCAAATCAAAAATGCTTTTGTCAATAAGAAATTGTTCTGTACATTTCCATATTCATTTTTTCCAATACTGACAAACAATTCATAGTATTCTGAGTCACTAAATCTCTTTTTAATTACCACATGAATAAACACTTATAAAATCGAAAATTTGTTTGAAATTTCTAAATCATACTTTCAAAATCCAACTATCGAATGAAAAAGTGTTTAAAGTGTTTACTAATTAGGCACCACTCAAACTGACAGAAAAAATAAAATATTTTTAGAAATAAGTTTATATATCCGTGAAACAAAGGAATCCCGTGAAAACGTACTAACGAATGTATTTTTTGCTTTCATTACGTGACAATACTTACATTTGCTGCTTTTTCCCAAGGCATTGGGATGATTGTCTTCGTAAACGTCGAAACCAGATACAGCGACAACAGAGCACACCACGAGAAGCCACAACATTGTGCGACAATTCAACGCGCCGGAGCTGCTTTTAAGAGGCCGTATACGTGGTGGCGAACTGGTCAACAGGCAGGGGTGTCCCAAAGCTATTCTCGCCATCATTTAAGTCATAATTTGTTTAATTTGTGATATGAAACCTTACAAAGAAGTTATACACACTTAATAAAATATTCCGTTTATTTTAGTGACAAAAGTGACACCTTCCTATCACTGTCTATTTACACAGTTATTCTTTAAAGTTTCTAAAATTTTATCAGATTTCCGATCCCCCCTTTTCAAAAATTAACATCATTGTTTGCATTTAATTATTTAATATTCACATTGACATTTGGTTAACAATTTGTTCAAAGAATTATACGACGATTGCCATTCAATGAATTCTCTTAGATCCTAGTTTTCGTCCTGAGAGCAACATATTGAATGTCAAAACTAGTAAAACTGCTTTATTTTATCAATACTGTCTCAGAACATCTGAAATTATTTTATCTGTTGTATATCCTGTATACGGAACTGTGTATTGACATTGAACTAAATTGTTACCTATGCGATAGAAATTTGTTTTTAAATTTTTCATGAATATAGTTGTGCCAAATGAAGGGTTCGGATAGAGCGTGGTAGCATTGCTTTCTCAGACACTCCAGAATGACTACAAGGCAATAATAGCAAATTTTGAGCAATTGTCTTCAAAAGTAGAGTAAAAGAGTAAACGTCTTCTACACCAATATAAGAAGTAGCGTGCTTTATGTGCATGAACTAAGCACAGTTGGTGCGTGAAAGAATTAGACAAGGATGGAAAATATTC